GATTCACTAGAGAAGATGTTAAAAGAAGAAAAATGATAGAATTAACAAGGATTAAACAAGAAATAAATAAAAGTGTTAAAGAATATACTAGAAGGTTTAGGTTAATATTAAGAATTGCAACTAGAGGTCAAGCATTACATGAAATGTATCAAGTAAATTATTTTATCCAAGGATTAGAACTTATGTTAGAATACCAAGTTAGAAGAAGTAGTTCAACAAATTTAAATGATGCAGTTAATATAGCAAGAAGAGAAGAAGAAGCTAAAGGTAAATTGTTAATAAAAACAATAGGTTTAAATATAGGACAAGTAGGATAAGAAAAGAATATGGAAGAAATTTTGAAAGAAGAAACAAATAAATATAAAAAAGAAAATGAAATGTATCAAAAAATGCAAAAGCCAGTTAATAAAAAAGATATTGATGATATAAGTAAACAGTTAGAATAATTTTAAGCAGAAATGTTAAATGAAGTAAGAAGAAGTCAATCAAAAGGAAATGTAAATAGAAATACAAATACAGGATTATGAGATGTTTTGAATGCAATGAAGTAGATCATATAAGACCAGAATATCTACAATTAAGACAAAGAAATAATTATAGAACACAAAATAATTTTAATAGGAATAATAATAATGAAAGAAGAAATAATAATAATAGAAATATAAATTTAATGGATTACAAAAGATATGACATTACGAAGTTGATCAAATGTTAGACTTGTATTCATCAAACACAAATTATTTAATAAATGCTTAAATTTTATATTTACTGAATGCTTAATGTTTTATGAATACCTATTTGTATTTAAAATAAGCATTTATAATAGATTACAAATTAAATATTAATTATTAAATACTTCATATATAATTGCTACTTTAATAAACTACTTAAAAAAATATTTTAAATTAATACTTATTAATTGCTATGAAAAAAAATATCAATTAAGCATTTGAATTTATTATTAAAAAGGCATAGAATATAAGCATTTAGATTTTGTTATTTTTATATTAAGTCTTAAAGAAAAATGTCCCAAATTAGTATTACGCGTATCACATGATATAGATAATCTTTTTTTTACAAATTTTTTTTCAACGAAGCTTCACCTTTTTTACCCTTCTATTTTTCCTTTCCTCTCTTTCACTTTCCCATTTTTCTTCCCTTTGTTCTCTTTTTTACTCTCTCTATTTCCATTTCCTTTATTCTTTTCCTTTATTCTTTCCTCTTTTTTATCCTTTCCCCTTCTGTTTAAAAAAAAGTTAAAATCAACCACAAAAAAAAATCCAAACTTTTTTAGACTAAGAATATAGGGGTTTTGCAGTGTAATATATGCAAAACTACTAAAATTAGTTTCATAAAATCATCTTAAAATGCGAAACTGCAAAACTGTCAAACTGTTTTGACATTTCGCTGTAGTATATCATATGATATACATATAGTTCTAATATTTATAGATCATGATCATATTCAATATATATATATACTATATATATACAATTTCGGTTTATTTGGTTTATTTAAACTAAAAAAATTTTTAGTTCCAGTATCGGTTATGATTATCGATCTGATCAATTAATAATCTTTTTTATATAGAAATTCTTTAGAAAAAAAAAAATTTACTATCACGTATAAAATGTTAAAAAGCTAAAAGCTAATTTAATGAAATTGTAAAAAAAAAATATTTTTATAAAACCTTTTATCAAGTAAAATGATAAAAGTTAATTAATTTTTTTCTTTAGAAATGTTCCTGTTTGGTAAGTTGATTTATTTTTTTTATTATCATTTTTCATTTCTTTGGTTCTAATTTTGTTTTTTTTTTATTAGATTTCGGTTACTTCAATTTTTATTATTTTATAGAAAACCACTTTGAAACTAATTGCACTGGTTTAACATTTTCTTTACCGGTTAAACTATTTTTTTGTAAATTTCAGTTTTAAGTTCAAGAAATAAATTTTTTGGACGCAGAATTTTTGTAAAGTGTAAATGGTAAATTTCATAGTGAAACTTATCATTTTTTCCTTTTTTTTTCAATAGAAACGCTAAATAAGCTATTTTTTTGTAGGTTTTTTTAAAATATCGGGCAGTAATATTGAAGCTTAATAATAGTAAGTTTCATTGTAAAACTTTACTATTTCTTCCTTTTTCCTGAGCTTGGATTTCGGTAAAGAACTCTATGGTAAATTAAAGGAAGAAATGTGTGAAGCTGAAATTTTTTCTTTTTATTTAAGAATATTTCTAATAATGCTAATGTTTGTTTCATTCTTTTCTATAGGAACGCATCTGGACTCAGACTTTAGCTAGAAAACTTTATGAAAGATAAGTTGTAAATTGAAGGGATCGGAATTGTATTTTGGGAGCATTACTAACATTTCTTTCTTTTTTCTTTAGGGATAGCTTCATTTAGACTTTTGGTTTCTTTGACACGTGAGTCTTTAATACATTTTTTTTTATTTTTCTTAATTTAGTTATTTTGACGAACTGTTATTAATCTGTCTCTTATACACATCTAGATGTGTATAAGAGACAGTCTTTCAGGTTTCTGGGATTTAGACGTTAATAGACAGCTTGAACTTTTGAATACTTAAATGCATAGAAATTTGGTAAAAGAGGGGCCATTTTTATTATTCTTTAATGAAATATTTACTAATATTTCATCTTCTTTCTCTTTTTAGATGGCTTCTTTTTCAGGGTCTTTAAAGAGTGCGTATTATGGTATTTAAATTTAATTTCTTAACCTTCTTTAATATAACGAAACATTAACCAAATGATTTTATTTTTTATTCTTTTTTAGGTAGTTTTCAGTTCTTTAAATATGACATTTCAGTAAGTAATTTTTTCTTTTATTTATTTAATGAAACACTTATTAACGTTTCGTCTTATTTTTTTTTTAGTCAGCTTCTTTGAAATTTCTTTGGCACAGATTCGTAAGTTTTTTTTTTCAATTTTTTTTCTTTTTTTCTTTTATTTATTTTTGTTTATTAACTTTTGTTTATTACTTCTTTTTTTAGTCAACTTCTTTTAAACTTTCTGAGTACGAATTTGTAAGTTTTTTTATTTTAATGTATTTCTTTTAATGAACATCATTAATGTTCATTTTCTTCTTTTTTTTAGACGGTTTGCTTTTCAGATCTGGATGCATTGGATTCAAGTAAGCTATTATTTTTACTTTGTTATTTGTTTTAATGAAATGAATGAAACGTTTTCTAATATTTAGATTTTTATGAATATTAGTAGGAAAAATCAAAAATAATTTTTTGAATTTATTTCTTTTAGCGAAATGTTCTTACTGACGTTTCAATTCTTTTTTTTTTAAGCGATCAGATTATTGGATGCGTAGATTTTGATTGGTATTAGAATTTTTCTTTGATTTATTTCTTTTTAACAAAATGCCTTATTAACGCTTTGATTTATTTTTTTTCTAGATGTTCAGATCTTTGGACGCGTAGAATTTTAGTAAGGAGAATTTTTTTGAATATATTTCTTTTAGTGAAACATTTTTATTAACGTTTTAATTTTTCTTTTTTTAGATGACTTGATTAGGACCCCAGAAACTATATATAAAGATTGTTTTAAAAAACCAAAAATTTTATATGAACTTTACCCAGAATCTTATTGGCTAACTGATCGAAAAAGGAAAAAATTCATAATAAAATTGGTGTGACATTCCTTTTATATATTTAATTTAACTAAATATAGCAAGATCTTCAAAAAATTTTCCTTATAGCTTTACCCATTTTAACGGTAACCTATCTATAGAGTTTCTGGAGTCCTACCTGATCTCTATATATAGTGATGATCTGTGGCTTGTGATAGTTCTGTTCTGCTTTCAGTTTTTTTATACCGCACTTTCTACTACTACTAAAGAGTGTATGATTTAATTTTGTTTCTTTTTGGCTGTTACTGAATATAATATCCTATTATATATGGAATTTCACAAATTTCTAATTTAAATAGTAGGAAGGTATGAAAAAGTAAATTAGTCATAATATAAAGATACTATATATTATATGTAAATATGTAATATAATAAAAAAAATGTATAAAATATAATAATAAAATAAATATAATAATAAAAATTAATTAAATTATAATGTAATAAAATATCAATACTAAAATGGTGTTTATTATATAATTAATTTAAGTATTTTAGTTATATTAATTTCTATTAATCAATTAGCAATAAAAAAATAATGCTTATCAAATACAAGCTGCGTTGAAATTTGTTTAATAAGCACTTAAATTAAATATTCTTAAAGCATTTAATAAATGATTGGTAAATGCTTGGTTTAACTTCGTGATGATTACGATTAAGGTTGCTTGTCTAAACTTCTTCAAAATCCTACGATTAGTTTCGTCAAAATTTTACTATAGATTTATTATAGTTTTGGCAGAGTTTCGGCAGTTTCGGCATTTATAATAAGTTTTGGCAGTTTCACTTTTCTCCAAAGTTTCGCCAGTTTTTTAATATAACTTTAATATAGTTTTGGCAGAATTTCGCTTTTCAGCGAAACGCCATCTTGCCTAAACCCCTAAATTTCGGCAAGCAACCTTAATTACGATAATAATAAATATTATGATAATGATAAATATTATAATGATTACGAAATATCATATAATTATGAAAAAGAAATATATCTAACTTTAAGAAGTGGTAATCATCAGTAAATTTTTTGGGGTGCGGATCCTTAGGGATTTCAAAAATCCCATAATTAGTAAGGATCCTTCATTAAGGAACCTTTTCCACCAGCGAGAATTTCCTATTATAAAATTTTTATGGAATCCTCAAGGATCTTAAATTTACCAATAAGGAATCCTTAAGGATATTTGTTTTATATTTATTTATTTATATTAACAATAAAATGTATATTTTATTATATTTATTTATTTATTTATTAATAATATATTGCAAATTGCAATTAACAAAAGTAATGAAAACAAATAACACTATTTATATATAAATTATTATACCATAATATATGAATTATTATAAAATTTACATATGACTTATATTCCTTGAACGATTTGAGGCCATTCATGTCTAATTCTTTCAAATAATTGTGATTTGATACACTTTAATGCATCAGAACCTTTTGTTGTAACGCCAGATTCAATATCATTAGTCATAATACCCTAAAATAAATTGAAAGAATTATGGTTAAAAATTATAAAAATTAAATGAAGTAAAAAAAAAAAGAAAGACTTTAATTACCGTTATTATAAAGACTAAAGAAAAAGCAAATGAGAACACAGATTAAGAGGTTATCTTAGAACGCTTATAGAACCATATTATAACATAGTTCTGAAAATCTCTGTTTTTAATATTTAAAACTGAACTTATGAAGTTGAATTAACAGATGTTAGTAAATGTCTTTTTAAAAGAAAAATAAAAAACCTTTTACTCCTCTAAATACATACCTGACTCCATATCCAAAGTCCAGAATCAGCGTCTATGAGAAAGAAGCAAAGGAATGTTAGTAAACATTCTTGAATAAAGGGAGACAAAAAAGTCTTTGGCCAAATATTTACTTAGTTCTATATTCAAAATCAAAAGGCAGGAATCTACAAAAGAACATTAGTAAATGTTCTTAAAAGGTAAGTTTATTCACTTTTTACACCTTTGAGCAATACCTCAATATAAGATCCAAGAGATCCATTTCAATTATAGAAAAAAAACAAAAAGAAACAACCTAAAAAAAGAGTGAACGTTAGTAACGTTCTATACAAAAATTAAGGTTGCTTGTCTATACCTCTTCAAAATCCTACAATTAGTTTCGTCAAAATTTTACTATAGATTTATTATAGTTTCGGCAGAGTTTTGGCAGTTTCGGCATTTATAATAAGTTTCAGCAGTTTCGCCATTTTCCAAAGTTTCGCCAGTTTTTTAATATAACTTTAATAT